TATGTTCGCATGTTTGAGCAGTAAGGATGTAGTCGAGCAGGTACAGAATCGTCACATCCATGATGGCAGAAGGCAAGGAAACAAACTCACACTGCATACCACATGTCGCTGTCACTGGTCGAAGACAAGCAGGTCATTCACGGACATGCGGAGAGTGTTTGAGGGTTTTCCCCCTTCGGCTGTTCTGGGTAGCTAACGTCTGTTGTTCAAGCGATTTGTGGTTGTCTGCTTCTTTCGTTGCTTTGCTGCGGGAGCTTTCTTGTGGTTCGTGTCAGTAAGACTTTGCAGGAATGCTTTGTCGTCTGTCTGCTGGTTCCCCGGTGCTAAGTTGGTGATGCTGCACTGTTTGCCACTACTCCATGGGACATCATACTTCGCGATGAAGGTTGCCTCCCACTCCCCCCATGCTTCTCTGTCTTGTGCAATGGCAAACCAATTCTTACCAACCGTGTCGCTCAATTGTCTGTCTATGTCCATGTACGCATTGAAGCGGTGGCCATGTTGAATTGGGATCCCCCGGTCCTTTTGATCTTGCCACCACTGGAGACTGTGCCATTGGAGGATTTTTCCCCCGATAGGATCGCCTCTACTGATGTGTCCAATAGCGGTCCAGATCTGCGACAGCACGAAAGTTGACCATCGGGTTCCCCCGCAGTGGAATAGTGCGAGTCGGCTTCTTCGCAAACTTCTCTTATTCCACGTGGCCCACTCTTCACATGGCTGTCGGCGAAGACCCAGCATTACACGGACGTGGGATAACTGAATCGTGTTGATCGACCGTAGCAGGCTGCTATGGCAAGGCCATGTCTGGCAGGCCCATAGTGCACTCTGTCGCACGAGTACGACGTGAATTTGCAGCTTTTGCCGGATAGTAGCCGCCGAGGTGAAGGAGTCGCGGTGTGCCCAGAAAGCTTTGCGAGCTCTGCTTTGGGCTTCTGCTAGCAGCATGGCGGTTCCCCCTTGGAAGGAGAGGGGACTCCCCAGCACATGAAAGACGTGCTTGGGTCCTTTGGTTGCCACTCTCTCACCCGCCACCTGGAAATGGACTTCTTTTTCCCCGGTACTGATGATGTCGGTTTTTCCAGGGTGCAGGTAGAGGCCGCGGCCGGGCAGCTTGTCCCCCAGGGCGGTGAGCATGTGCTGGAAATGTTTTTTGCATGTGGACCAAATGTAGTTGTCGTCCATGTAGCTTCCCCCGTCTTCCGGGGGGGTTGCGTCGGTCGTCGGTTTGGAGCTCTTTGCTTCCCCGATGGCAGCATCAAGGTCTTTGGCAACGACAGAGCCGAAAGCCACAGGGCTTTCTGGTGCTCCTTGTCGGACCCCGTTGCTTTGTTGGATCGGGATGCTTTCCCCGGCGACCTGAACACATAGGTGCTGGGCATGGAGCACAGCGACCCAAGCTCGGGCTTCCCAGGGCAGGTTGGCATCCTCCCCGACTGCCTGGCAAACATGCTCGGCGAGGCTCTCCTGGAAGATCGAGTCGAAGGCTTTTCGGATGTCCAGTTTTGCGATGTAGAACTCGAGTCCCCAGTCACGTGCGACTCGTGCTAGTCGACGAAGGATAAGGATTAATTCGATTCCTTGTCTCCCCCGCCTGCACCATTGTAGTCTGGCGGGGGCCTGGATCGCTTCCCCGGCTCTCTGTAGAAGGAGCTGGCCGAAGGTCTTGAGGAGCACTGAACTCAAAGTTATAGGTCTTGTTTCGCTCCAGTCCTGTGGCTGTGTGGTTTTCGCCAGTAGGATGGTGGCCCCTGCCTCGATGCTCTCGACGATACGGCATGTGTACAGCATGTCATTGAAGAGGGCGAGAAGGCGGTTCCCCCAGATTGGATGTGGGAGCATGGCTTTGAGGGCTTCGTGTGAGACCCGGTCTGGCCCACAAGACCTTCCATTCTTCCACTTCACTTTGATCTCGTAGAGGTCTTCCAAGATGAAGGGCATCCATCTTGTGTTCTTACATTTGTGCTCCAGCTTGTTCATGATCCCCCGGATTTTCGCCGTGACCACGACTTGCTTTTGCCGATGGAAGATCTTCTCGAAATGGTCCTTGAGCTCTTGTTTCCACTGGTTACTGTCGGTGAGTTTCAGCTCCCATGAGTGATCGCGGCTCTGCTCCACGAGGGCCTTCTTCATCCCCCAATCCAGTTCAGCTACCCGTTGCATCGCTAATTGTTGCCATTTTCTGTGCTCGGACTGGTGCATCTTTCGCGCCGTTTTCCAGAGTCGTCGTCTGTCTTCCCCTGGCACTGCATGAAGGGCTTGTCGACGAAGAGCTCGAAGGGCATCAGATTCTTTAAAGGGTAGCTTGTTCTTGCCTGGTTTGCTGATGGCCACAGCGACTTCCTGGATTTGGGTGACGGGGTCACCCCCGGTCTTGGCTTGGTGATCCAAGATCGCATCCACTACAGCCCCAGGTCGTAATGTTCGGGAGGACCATGGTGCCGCCTTTTCCCCCTTGTTGGCCTCGTCGATGCGGATCTGGGTCAAGGGGACGGAGATCGGCTCGTGGTCTGAAGTGGCAATGTCCCTCTGAGCAAGTACTTTTCCGGAATCGCACAGGAGTTTCTTTGCCAACACATAGTCTAGTCTGCGCGGTGCAAAGGCCGTGTTGTAGGGAAAATGGCTTGGCTCATGCAGCTGCTGTTCTGGAAAATGGCATCCCTCTTCTTCGAACCACTCAAGCAACAATTCCCCCCGTGCTGTGCATGCCTTGACTTGTCTCTGTTGTCTCGCGGGCTCGAAGGTCTCATTGGCATCAATACCTATGACTGCTCGGCCATGTGACTGCAAGTGGGCATGAAGCTCTTGGAGAATCTGCTCAGTAGCTGAGAGTGTGGCATGATGTGGTATGTGTATAGAAAAAGCTCCCAAACGGAGAGTATCTGAACTCAAAGTGCAAGAAATCGAGCAAGGTAAAAGTTTTCCCCGGGTGTGCCGCAGGTTCGAGGTATGCATGATGGCATTGCCTCTCCAGTCCTCAGTTCGTTTTCCGAAGACCATCTGCAGCTCATCCAAGGCGGCATGGTACTTCCCCTTTGGCAGAGGTGAGTCCCCCGACATTCCAGCTTATCACATGCACTGTCTGCGAGGGCCTGGCAAGGACTTCGGCCCTCTTGTGTCCCCGTCTTCACTGCAGGGCTTTCCGAAGTTCCCCCCATTTGGAGGTCGCAGCTTCTTCGGAGATCCCGATCTGTCGTGCCACTGTGCCAAGGTGTACCCAACCAGCTTTTTCCACTGATGCACCGTCTGGAGCTGAGGTAACCCCCGATGCAACTTTCACACTGTTGTACCATAGATTGGCTGTGCCGTACTCCACGTCGATCTTGCGCACGTCGCCACCTTCTTCTATGATCAACCTTTTCACTTTGCCAGCGAGTTGGGCCTTCTTGCGACGTTCGGGACTCTGGCTGAGTGCTGCGAAGAAGTAGCGGTGTCCCCCTTCGGGTCTTTGGCCTGTCACGATCTTGGCTGCCCGAATAGTCTTGAGTACTTCTTGTACACGAGCTCGCTGTTCAGAATCGCTTTCCCCCTCAAGCTTGTTTAGGGGAACGAGGGCGAATCCCCTCCTGAGCCCTGGGACAAAAGCCTGGCTGGTGTCGAGGTTGACGTTCAAGTCGTGCAAGTGCTGCTTTACCAACTGCAAGGTTTCTTCATGGTGCTGATTCCAGCCTCCTACCACCAGGGCAGGACGGGGGTTTCCCCCGTCAGTCTCGGAAGTTCTGGTACTCGACATAGAGAAGTTGGCTTTGGCGAATTTTCCTTCAAGAAGTTCCAGTCGTTCCAGCACACTCTTCTGCCGCTCATCAACATTCCGGACACTCTGCTCCATCACACAGTGACGATCGGTCATCGCCTCTAATAGTTTTGTGGTATTGGTCACGTGTGTGTCGACTGTAACTTCCACCGTGGTCATACGAGTGTTGATCGCATCGATGTCTTCACGGACTTTGGCGACAATCTCCTCACGATTTTCCTTTAAGGCTGCGAGGAGTGTATTGAGTGTCAATGGTTGCTCCTCCCCCTCGTCGTCAGTGGCAGGTCGCTTTCGTCCGCCATTTGCAGCCCCCGGATTCTCACCATGTGCCGGGGATGCAGGTGCTCGTGATCCCCCGTGTGTGCCAGCCATTGTGAAGATTTTGTTCTTGATGCCGTCCAGAAAGTATCACGATCAAGTAAATGTTAAAATTCCTCACCCACCTTCACGGACGGCAGAAGCGGGTATGCCCCAATGAAGTCCTGTAGGTTCGCCGATCCCCTTCGCGAAGAGGGTTGACAAAGTCCTCAAGGTACAACTCACAGTCACCGATGTGCTCTGCTCCCCCCGATGTCGCTCCGCTGAAGGAGGATGGAGTACACGCGTAGTTTTACAAACTGGTAGAAGGTGTTGCAGATGGCTATGAACGGCTCCCGTGCACTTTCTCTCTCTCACTCTCCCCCGGGTTTACAGACCGTCTGACTTTCTGGGCTCCGGCCTTGAACCACTCGCGGCTTGAGCCAAAATGGCTACCTCTCTCTCTCTCTCTCCTCTCTCTCTCTCTCTCTCTCTCTCTCTCTCTCTCTCTCTCTCTCTCTCTCTCTCTCTCTCTCTCTCTCTCTCTCTCTCTCTCTCTCTCTCCTCTCTATGAAGCTAGTTCGTGAAGTAAACTGAAATCACGCGTGGTTGTGAATTTATTTCGCTGGTGGATCGAACACAAGCATGATTGAAGTTGAGGTACTGGGATTCAGGTGCATCGGTCAAGCATGATGCAGGTGCCACTTCTGCACTTTCGACCCTCACGTCCTAAAACCCCAAACTACACCGAAACCTAGCCGAGATCATGCTTTAAGCCGCTGTCCACCGGGAGTCGCGTAGGCCGGTACCGGGGTTCCGGGGTAGGGGTGATGCCTCATACTTTCGTTTGGCTAAACATAGACTTTGGAAATTAACCTTCGCAGGGGGTTCGGTCAAGGTCAAGGCCAGGTCTCAACCCTAAACGTTAAACCGGCTGCTGCCAGAATGCCCATGGTTGCGAGCATCGCCACACGGCCGTTCTTGAGCTCCTCGACAGCAGTATACAGTATATGGTTTGCTTGCAGTCTAAACCATGTGTATGTTATATATATATATAGATATAATATACACATAGATGTATGTATGTACGTCTTGTGCAGAGTATGCATGTATGTATGTATGTATGTATAAGTAAATACATATATATATATATATATGCATGCATATATAAACATATATATATATATATATATACACATACTTTTGCAAGCACACATGTTGTGCAACTGATGATGCTTGCGTTTGTCTGTGTGTATGTTTTTGTTTGGGGCAGATCCGGTGTTCCGACCAATGCACAACCGTGACACCCGTTCATTGACGTAGAGGTCTCGGGCTTGGCTTCAAGCCTGCATGTTCGGAAGCGCAAAGGCTTTTGCGAGATAGTTAAGTTTGGCAATTTCGAAGATGATGCCTGTGATTATCCTAGTGCCTGCTAGACCGAACCTGCTGAATCCCCTCTTGGCTTCTTATGAACTCAAGCTCCAGGATAATAGAGATATATAGAGATGTCGCGGCTCGGAGGCTCGTGGCTTTTGTTGTGATTTCGGATGTAACGGTCAGGACTTGGTCAAATCAAGGTTGGGTGTGAGGTTCGGAGGTGGAGGCATGCAGTTGCCTTCGTGCGGTATACATGCGTGCGCTTATGCACAAGTACATACAGACATACACTCATTTATTCCTGCATACATACATCAAGACAGAAGTACAGAAATACATGCAGTGACAGTCAATATGCATGTGACTGTCTTGACGCAGGGGTGTGTCGCGCAAACACAGATACCTTCAAAAAGAAGCAGCCCAGATACGGACACTCTGGCCCCAATGTCCCGTCCGTTCACTGTTCGAAGCTATCCTACCTTCTTATTTCGACACCGAGCTTCTTGCTGTCCAGTAAGCACACGCAACTTGACTTCGAAAGAAACTTGCCGAGCCTGTAAAGCCGTGGCAGCTAAACAGCTAAACCCCACAATCACACCCCAAACCATCCGAAGCTCTGGCCCTGCAGAAACCCGCTCCGTAGCACGGCGGCGCTTGAAGGCCTCCATGTCGCCATCCTCTTTTGCTTAGCCGTGACTATCTGACTATCAACCCATGTACCAACCAGTACCTCCAAATGCAACAGCAGCATCAGTACAACCCGCAACCCATACCTGTCCTCCGACTCCTACGCAAACACCTACCGCCACAAACACCAGCACTACCAGCACCGAGACGACGACTGATACTGCTTCTCTAGGTACCTATGACTAGCCAGTATTAACTGCTACTGAATACCAGTACGACCTACTAGCCACTAGCTGCTAGGAACCACTACTCAAGACTCCTAGATGTCCTAACTTCTACTATTACTTCATACCGTTTAACTCCTACAAACTCCTCCTCCACCTACTCCTCCTACCCTCACCGGTGCCACCGCCGCTCCACCACCACCACCACCACCACCACGACCACGATGTCCGCCACCACTATATACCGGCCTATGACGACGGACTGCTTGCTTTACTGATTCTTGATCGAATGACAGGCTCTTCATGGTGGTGGTAGTGCTGCAGACGACGAGAAGAACACAATGAAGATGAGCGCACAGATGGCTTCGAAGATGATGGTCGTGGTGGTGATTAGAAGCAAGGAAGATACGTGTGGTGGGGGTATAGATACTTATCACATTTGATCACCAACATTACGATTAGAAGGTATCTGATAATGATGGCATGGAGAAACCGTATGGAGAAGCGGCGACGAAAGAGGACTTCACCGAACCCACCCGGCCCGGCCTCCTCACTCTGAAAACCAAAAACTTGTGCTTTTAAGCTGTCTTAGCTGCCTCTGCTTTTGGGGTAAAATATAGGGGCCGTAATAATTAGAATAGGATTTGGGGGCATGTTATACTAAAATTGTATTAAGGAGCCCCAAAGTATAGTATAGGTAACTATCGAGGCCTCTATATGAGAGGCCTAAACCTGAAGGCGCGAACGTCCAAACCGATCGGACGGGCCTTCGTCAGTCCGAAGGGGTCGAAGAAACCAACAGGGGCCTCCCAGATTTTATGAAAAGAATGTAGCGGCCTTAGCAGTTAGAGTAGGGTGAATTACTCAGGCCTATATATTGTTGGGCTTATCTTTGCTTCCTGGATGCAACAGGATTGCTACCATTTATAGTTACAGGGATACACTGTGAAGCCTTCCACAACATTCCTGTTCAGGTCATTCTCAAGAAAGCACCTGTCAGCACCTTACGCCCAGGTCCCAGGTTGGGGCTTTGGGCGTGGAAAGGCTTGGGAGCTTAGGACCAGCCCACTCCAAGCCCCAAGGCCGAAGGCCAAGACGCCCCCGAGCCGTGAAGCTTTCCTTTGATTTGAAGTGAAGTTCATTCCTGTAATTTCACGCACATACTTCATCCTGGCGTTCTTTTGAGAAGCATTTGATTTCTGCCAGTTGTGTATGTTGTGTTGCGGCTTCGGAGGCGTGAAGTTGCAAGTGGGTCGATTGAAGCGTCAGAGGCCGAGCAAACTCAATCATCAATGAACTCCATCACCGCACTGACGTCAAAAGGCCTGCACGCCGAGCTCGCTCTCGAATGCACGCAGAGGCGAGGCCGTGTAGCTCGCCCAATCTCCCCAGGCGCTGCCGGTGAGGCCGTCCTATGTGCAAGTTGCAAGGTTCGTGTACATGCAAGTGATGGGTGACAGAATCATGCAGTGCTTGAACGAGGCCTGGAAGAACATGCCGATGATGGCCATCATGGCCAGGCGGCCGTTTGCAAGCTCGGCAGAGAGCTTTTTCGTCTTCTCAGCAGGGTCCGAGGAGGTCAGAACCTTGAAGCCGTAGTCGCCCGGGGTGCCGCTCTTGTAGTCATCGAAGCCGCCGCTGAACTCCACGAAGCCGAAGTACGCGGCAATCTGTGCCCAGCCTGCGACAGGCACCTTGGAGACGGCCGCAAGCCCATTCGGGATGTCGGCGAACTTCAAGCCGGCGGACGGCGACAAGAAGCCAGGCCTGCGAAGGAACAAGTCAACACGCATCGCCACAGACTTGTCACGCAGCTCAGCTACTGTAGCAGCAGCTAGCAATCAGCGGCTGTTGGGCTCTGAGAGCGCGGCAGCTTGCCCGTGACCTCAGGGGTGATGTAGCCTCGGTTAGAGTGCCACTGCAGGTGGACAAACAAACCTCGAAGCGAGAACTCCGACTCAAAAGAGCATGTAATGTGTGAAAGCATTCCGTTTAACAAGTATCCACCGAAAGTACCAATGCACCGCTCAGTATTCAATACGATCAAGAAAGAAATTTAGCACTGCCTTACAGCATCTTCTTCAATGGCGAAACCACATACGATGTCTCAGTTGTTGTTGAGAGGCCCATGGTTGCCATCATCGAGATCCTGCCGTGCTTCAGCTCGACGGAACGTCGGCGCTTGAAGGAGGCAACATCGCCGTCGGAAGTGAATCCAACGGGATCCCAGAATCCGACGGGGTCTTGCACACCGAGCTCGCTCTCGAATGCACGAAGCGGGGAAGCGGTGTAGTTGGCCCAGTCGCCCCAGGCGCTTCCGGTCAGGCCATCCTTTTATCTTGTTTACAAACAAGCGGGTAAACGACACATACAACGCACACACAACTTAACATCTTGTGTGGAAACAAAACTAGAAGTAGCCGACCTGGAAGAACATGCCGATGATGGCCATCATCGCAAGCCTTCCGTTGGCAAGCTCCGCTGCGAGCTTCTTCGTCTTGGTCTCAGCATCGTCGGAAGTCAGCACCTTCCATCCGAAGTCGCCTGCAGCACCTGGGGTGCCCGGAGACTGATCCTGAGATGTCTCGCAGTACGCACCCCACAGGAGGATCTGGGTCCAGCCTGCAATGGGAACCTTGGAGATAGCTGCAAGGCCGTTCGGGACGTCAGCGAACTTGATGCCCAAAGTTGGGGAAAGGTATCCCGGCCACTTGCTGAATTCTGGGGTGATATATCCCATGGTCGCAAGCATTGCAATGCGCCCGTGCTTCAGCTCCGTCTGACGTCGGCGGGCGAAGTTCTCGGCGTTGCCATCCTTCGTGAATCCAGCAGGATCCCAGAAACCCACTGGCGCCTGCATGCCAAGTCAGTTTTCAGGCATGTGCAGCAGCAAGACACACACACACACACACAACAATCTTCGACTTGCAAAACAATCACCAAATCAACCCATGTCTCTAAAACACCTGGCTACAAATTGCCTGCACGCCGAGCTCGCTCTCGAATGCACGCAGAGGCGAGGCCGTGTAGCTCGCCCAATCTCCCCAGGCGCTGCCGGTGAGGCCGTCCTATGTGCAAGTTGCAAGGTTCGTGTACATGCAAGTGATGGGTGACAGAATCATGCAGTGCTTGAACGAGGCCTGGAAGAACATGCCGATGATGGCCATCATGGCCAGGCGGCCGTTTGCAAGCTCGGCAGAGAGCTTTTTCGTCTTCTCAGCAGGGTCCGAGGAGGTCAGAACCTTGAAGCCGTAGTCGCCCGGGGTGCCGCTCTTGTAGTCATCGAAGCCGCCGCTGAACTCCACGAAGCCGAAGTACGCGGCAATCTGTGCCCAGCCTGCGACAGGCACCTTGGAGACGGCCGCAAGCCCATTCGGGATGTCGGCGAACTTCAAGCCGGCGGACGGCGACAAGAAGCCAGGCCTGCGAAGGAACAAGTCAACACGCATCGCCACAGACTTGTCACGCAGCTCAGCTACTGTAGCAGCTAGCAATCACGGGCTGTTGGGCTCTGAGAGCGCGGCAGCTTGCCCGTGACCTCAGGGGTGATGTAGCCTCGGTTAGAGTGCCACTGCAGGTGGACAAACAAACCTCGAAGCGAGAACTCCGACTCAAAAGAGCATGTAATGTGTGAAAGCATTCCGTTTAACAAGTATCCACCGAAAGTACCAATGCACCGCTCAGTATTCAATACGATCAAGAAAGAAATTTAGCACTGCCTTACAGCATCTTCTTCAATGGCGAAACCACATACGATGTCTCAGTTGTTGTTGAGAGGCCCATGGTTGCCATCATCGAGATCCTGCCGTGCTTCAGCTCGACGGAACGTCGGCGCTTGAAGGAGGCAACATCGCCGTCGGAAGTGAATCCAACGGGATCCCAGAATCCGACGGGGTCTTGCACACCGAGCTCGCTCTCGAATGCACGAAGCGGGGAAGCGGTGTAGTTGGCCCAGTCGCCCCAGGCGCTTCCGGTCAGGCCATCCTTTTATCTTGTTTACAAACAAGCGGGTAAACGACACATACAACGCACACACAACTTAACATCTTGTGTGGAAACAAAACTAGAAGTAGCCGACCTGGAAGAACATGCCGATGATGGCCATCATCGCAAGCCTTCCGTTGGCAAGCTCCGCTGCGAGCTTCTTCGTCTTGGTCTCAGCATCGTCGGAAGTCAGCACCTTCCATCCGAAGTCGCCTGCAGCACCTGGGGTGCCCGGAGACTGATCCTGAGATGTCTCGCAGTACGCACCCCACAGGAGGATCTGGGTCCAGCCTGAAATGGGAACCTTGGAGATAGCTGCAAGGCCGTTCGGGACGTCAGCGAACTTGATGCCCAAAGTTGGGGAAAGGTATCCCGGCCACTTGCTGAATTCTGGGGTGATATATCCCATGGTCGCAAGCATTGCAATGCGCCCGTGCTTCAGCTCCGTCTGACGTCGGCGGGCGAAGTTCTCGGCGTTGCCATCCTTCGTGAATCCAGCAGGATCCCAGAAACCCACTGGCGCCTGCATGCCAAGTCAGTTTTCAGGCATGTGCAGCAGCAAGACACACACACACAACAATCTTCGACTTGCAAAACAATCACCAAATCAACCCATGTCTCTAAAACACCTGGCTACAAATTGCCTGCACGCCGAGCTCGCTCTCGAATGCACGCAGAGGCGAGGCCGTGTAGCTCGCCCAATCTCCCCAGGCGCTGCCGGTGAGGCCGTCCTATGTGCAAGTTGCAAGGTTCGTGTACATGCAAGTGATGGGTGACAGAATCATGCAGTGCTTGAACGAGGCCTGGAAGAACATGCCGATGATGGCCATCATGGCCAGGCGGCCGTTTGCAAGCTCGGCAGAGAGCTTTTTCGTCTTCTCAGCAGGGTCCGAGGAGGTCAGAACCTTGAAGCCGTAGTCGCCCGGGGTGCCGCTCTTGTAGTCATCGAAGCCGCCGCTGAACTCCACGAAGCCGAAGTACGCGGCAATCTGTGCCCAGCCTGCGACAGGCACCTTGGAGACGGCCGCAAGCCCATTCGGGATGTCGGCGAACTTCAAGCCGGCGGACGGCGACAAGAAGCCAGGCCTGCGAAGGAACAAGTCAACACGCATCGCCACAGACTTGTCACGCAGCTCAGCTACTGTAGCAGCTAGCAATCACGGGCTGTTGGGCTCTGAGAGCGCGGCAGCTTGCCCGTGACCTCAGGGGTGATGTAGCCTCGGTTAGAGTGCCACTGCAGGTGGACAAACAAACCTCGAAGCGAGAACTCCGACTCAAAAGAGCATGTAATGTGTGAAAGCATTCCGTTTAACAAGTATCCACCGAAAGTACCAATGCACCGCTCAGTATTCAATACGATCAAGAAAGAAATTTAGCACTGCCTTACAGCATCTTCTTCAATGGCGAAACCACATACGATGTCTCAGTTGTTGTTGAGAGGCCCATGGTTGCCATCATCGAGATCCTGCCGTGCTTCAGCTCGACGGAACGTCGGCGCTTGAAGGAGGCAACATCGCCGTCGGAAGTGAATCCAACGGGATCCCAGAATCCGACGGGGTCTTGCACACCGAGCTCGCTCTCGAATGCACGAAGCGGGGAAGCGGTGTAGTTGGCCCAGTCGCCCCAGGCGCTTCCGGTCAGGCCATCCTTTTATCTTGTTTACAAACAAGCGGGTAAACGACACATACAACGCACACACAACTTAACATCTTGTGTGGAAACAAAACTAGAAGTAGCCGACCTGGAAGAACATGCCGATGATGGCCATCATCGCAAGCCTTCCGTTGGCAAGCTCCGCTGCGAGCTTCTTCGTCTTGGTCTCAGCATCGTCGGAAGTCAGCACCTTCCATCCGAAGTCGCCTGCAGCACCTGGGGTGCCCGGAGACTGATCCTGAGATGTCTCGCAGTACGCACCCCACAGGAGGATCTGGGTCCAGCCTGAAATGGGAACCTTGGAGATAGCTGCAAGGCCGTTCGGGACGTCAGCGAACTTGATGCCCAAAGTTGGGGAAAGGTATCCCGGCCACTTGCTGAATTCTGGGGTGATATATCCCATGGTCGCAAGCATTGCAATGCGCCCGTGCTTCAGCTCCGTCTGACGTCGGCGGGCGAAGTTCTCGGCGTTGCCATCCTTCGTGAATCCAGCAGGATCCCAGAAACCCACTGGCGCCTGCATGCCAAGTCAGTTTTCAGGCATGTGCAGCAGCAAGACACACACACACACACACAACAATCTTCGACTTGCAAAACAATCACCAAATCAACCCATGTCTCTAAAACACCTGGCTACAAATTGCCTGCACGCCGAGCTCGCTCTCGAATGCACGCAGAGGCGAGGCCGTGTAGCTCGCCCAATCTCCCCAGGCGCTGCCGGTGAGGCCGTCCTATGTGCAAGTTGCAAGGTTCGTGTACATGCAAGTGATGGGTGACAGAATCATGCAGTGCTTGAACGAGGCCTGGAAGAACATGCCGATGATGGCCATCATGGCCAGGCGGCCGTTTGCAAGCTCGGCAGAGAGCTTTTTCGTCTTCTCAGCAGGGTCCGAGGAGGTCAGAACCTTGAAGCCGTAGTCGCCCGGGGTGCCGCTCTTGTAGTCATCGAAGCCGCCGCTGAACTCCACGAAGCCGAAGTACGCGGCAATCTGTGCCCAGCCTGCGACAGGCACCTTGGAGACGGCCGCAAGCCCATTCGGGATGTCGGCGAACTTCAAGCCGGCGGACGGCGACAAGAAGCCAGGCCTGCGAAGGAACAAGTCAACACGCATCGCCACAGACTTGTCACGCAGCTCAGCTACTGTAGCAGCAGCTAGCAATCAGCGGCTGCTGGGCTCTGAGAGCGCGGCAGCTTGCCCGTGATCTCAGGGGTGATATAACCTGCCACACCCAAGGACTCCACACGCAAAATCAAGCAACACATGGAAGTGTAAGACGAAACACTGACGTTACCGAAAAGCATTTGTAAGACTCTGTAGTGGCTTTGGCGTTGATAATGATGCTGTTGAAGATGAAGACGATGATGAGGATGACGTCTCTGATGATGATGATGATGATGCTGATGATGTTGAGCAAAAGGACAAGGAAGAGGAAGAGGAACAGGCAGAGGAAGAAGCTGACATTGATGCTTGATGATCTTGATGATGGTACTTTTGATCTGACGGTCGTGGAAGTGATGATGATGCTGATGAGGAGGAGGAGGAGGAGGAGGAGGAGGAGCAGGAGCAGGAGACGGAGGAGGATGAGGAGAAGGATGATGATGGTGATGAAGACGGTGAGTTTTTGGATAACGATGGTGATGATGATGGTGATGATGCTGATGATGATGGTGGTGATGACGATGATGATGGCGATGACGAAGATGATGGCGATGACGAAGATGATGGCGATGACAAAGATGATTATTACAGTGATGATGATGATGATGATGATGGTGAATAGCTGATGATGACGATGGATGATGGTGATGATCATCATGATCATGACCATGATCATGATCATGATGATGGTGAGGGTGAGGGTGGTGGTGATGATGCTGCTGCTGGCGGCGTGGAGGTCTCGGGGTCGTTGTCGTCGTTGTTGTGAAGGTTGTGGTTGCGGTTCTTGTTGCTGCTGATGCTGCTGTTGTCCTGGCGTTCGTCGTTGACCGTTGCACAATCATTTAACATTAACCCGGGTGTAAACTCTCTGCTGCCAGGCAGCCCATGGTGGCCATCATGGAGATTCTGCCATGCTTCCTGGGAGTTACAACTGTCTGCTTCGTGCCATTACTGCTGGCCCGAGCCCAGTCGCCAACACCCTGCCATAGAAGCCTGCATAATTTGACTAGCGGTTTCATGCATGTTTGCCTTTGCCATCGCAGTTCATGATCTTCATATGAGCAAAAATACCTACTACGCAATAGTAGTAAGTAGTAGTGCACATAAATACAACTGCTACAAGCAATGATGCAGACCCCTAGGGCCCTGTGCCATCCTTGAATAGCAAAAGCTCTTGGGCTCAGGGAGTCTCTGATACTCTGAGGACACCTTCTCGGCAAGTCTCTAGACCAGTAGCCACCCAGCCCCCAAACTCCAAGTTCTCAAGACTGAGCGTTCGCTTGCTGGCGTTCTTGCTCGAGCCAGGAGCTTTCAAACCAGTGCCCTAAACAAAGGGCTTGTTTTTGAACACCTTCGACCACCTGCAGAGTCTGCAACTAGAATCTCTCAAACACAAGTGCATCTTGTTTAGGGTATTAGGGTTTAACTGTGGTTTGCGTCGCACCTTCCACTCGAACTGGGAAGCCCGCTACCGGCTATAGAAGCCCTGCACAGGAACCCCAAAAAGAACCGCGACAAATCCCAGCAAGACGGAGAGCCCTGCAGCCTCACTGAATTCCTTGAACATCAGGAATATGGGGCCCTTAATCATCAGAATTGGACCTCAGGGAATCATATCACCCTTATGTAGAATCCTCCTAGAACCCCTCTAGAACCCTTCTGATTCTAGAACCTTCTAGAACACTTCTCCCTAATCATAGAACCTTTACCCCAAAACCCAAAACCCTAATCCCTAATGAAGCGGATGAGTGCAGCCGTCGAGGCAACTCCACGGAGCGCCGCCTCTTGAAGGATGACACATCTCCTTGGCTCTACTGTCATGGATTATGGGTACTGTTATTGGTTTAGGGTTTAGGGGCTTAGGGACTCAGACTTTAGGGGTTTAGGGGTTTAGGGTTCTGGTTCTTAGTAGGGAATGGAAGAATGGATTATGGAGATATTGGGGATTTTATAGGGACGACTATAGGGATCCATTCCCCCAGTCCCTACTAAGCACCAAGGAGTCTAGAGGGGTCATGGTGCTTCTATGGAGTTTAAAGACCCTGATATAGGGGCCATCATGATTAGAATAGGGCTTTAGGGGTATACTATACTATAGTCTTTTAAGGAACCCTTAAAACAGTTTTGGTATTTATTTAGGCCCCTATAGTAGCCTATAGTGCTACAACTAGGGTGTGGAAGCAGCTTAGGGTTGCGTTCGACAGGTTTCAGAGCTCCCGTGGTTTCGCTCTACGGTTTTGCGGAGTCTGCGATGTCCAGGGTATCGTAGGGCTGTGGGGGGTTTCTATAAATCCAGTGATGCGTCTCCTGCGCTTTGGGGGTTTGGGGTGTTTGTCGTGCCACGTCCTGGGCTTCAGGATCTGTAGAGCTTGGGGCTTTAAGTCTTCAAGGTCCGAAAATTAAGATTTTCCCGTGTCTGGCTTAGTTAGGGCTTCATGGTTGGGGGTTCAGGGCTTTAGGGACGTCGCGTACAAGGGTCTGGAGTCTAGAGAGGAGCCGAGTCAGATGCCAAAAGAGGCGAACGATACTGAAAGAAGAACAGCAAGAGGGGGAGAAGCAAGGGCTGTAGCCCTTTTATCGCAATAAAGCCGTACTAATACTTGTCTTGTGGTGGCTTCTTTAAACCAAACTCCCAGACAGTAGCCCTGAATGCTGTGCTCGAAAAAGCAGCTACGAGTTATTGGACACATTGACAGGGGGTTCCGCCGGATGTGCATCAAGGTTTGGCCTCATAAGAAACCTCAAACGACTTGCAACACACCACAGAATCTTTCTAAAGCATTCGATTGCAAACAACATACAAAGTCATTCGTATAGTACGCCTCCAGTATCCCGTAGCCTAGCAAGCCCCATGTAAATCGTAAAATTAAAAAGTGAGACTATTACAGAACTAGAAGAGCGAGCAACCAAAAAAACGCGTTCGTGGCTCCGTCGGAGGTAAAGCCGACCGGATCCCAGAATCCGACAGGATCCTGCCTCGGAGAAACGGATTTGAAGCTTTAGGGGCCAAGGGTTTAGGCCTCAAGGGTTTTGCTGTTTAGGGTTTAGGGTGCAGGTTCGGGGTTGCGCGGTTGTGGCTTCTTAGGGAGAAGGGCTGTTGGACTCATGGATTGGTGGCATCCAGGGCTTCAAGTTTCAAGCTTTATGTTCACAAGTCATATAGGGCGGTTTACTGCGGTTTGTCGATACAGACTGTATGCATGTATATAGCCTGCGGGGTTGCAGCAGTTTTGCTAAGGCCTTGACACCCAATTCTATAGTTTCTCCAATGGTTGTTACGAAGCCTTCTTGAAGGGCTCGCTCTTCATGTACTCACGAGACGAGATCATAGGAACATGTATCGGTGTAACACCCGCCTAGGCTAGCGTTGCCGTGTCTACTTACGATCTACTACCTTTGCCCTTTTCTGCTTCGCCCTGCACCTGTGGCTGTTTTCACGAACCCTGAAAACCCAAACCCCTGCAACACTGTCTCCCAAAACTACAAAACCCTAGCAACCCTAGCAAAATTCAGAACTTCTGAAACCGTAAACCCCGAACTACTACATGAAGCTCCGGGTGTCGACGGCTTAATGCACACAGGATGCACTCCGAGCTCACTCTCGAAGGCTCGCACAGCGACCTGGCTGTTCCGTTTTCGAGCATGGGGGGTAGGGTGGTGGAGCGTTTCAGGGCTAAGGGGTTAGAGTTTGGTGTATTCCATGGCCTTGGGGCTTTACGGGACGCTTTCAGGGTTCGGAGCTATGGGGCTTTACAGTTTGAGGCCGATGGATGCAGCGCGGCCCTTCGAGGTCCCTGCCAACTTCAGACTCCACATCGAAGGTTGCTCAACCTGAGCCTGAGCCTTCTGGCGAAACTTCTGACCCTAAAAGGCTCCAGTGCTGCATCGTTTAGCTGAGCTCTGGCCAATCGAGGGGCCTTTAAATTCTACTCCCGTTTTGCCCCTACTATAGTCCTCTCTAGATGATATCTGACCTTCCCCACCCCCCAAACCGCTGTTGTGACTACGACAGCCCTCTGTACATTAAAGCCTTCAAATCCCGGTTCGGCTTTGAACTGGAAGGCGCACCACGCTGTGGGAGGATCCGCTGTAGGCTACCTTGGCACAAGGCCCGGAACTTCGCAGGCGAGGGTCAACTGTAGGGTCCTTTTGGCCTTCGGGAGTTTCCTACTTTCGGCCCTGGTCAGGGTGGGAAGCGCCTTAAACTCCGAAAGCTCGAGTCAGGGCCCCCGACAAACCCTACAAGTACCTCAGAGAGTCCACTGCTGCCAGGCCCAAGTTTCCCCGGTAAAACACATTGAAGCACAACAGCCTGGTAGATGACGTACACCCGAAGCGTTATACACCCTCCTCGAGACCCCAAGCGCTGAAACCTACAAGACTCTAAATTCAATCGCAATAAGCTGCAGAAAACAACCATCAAA